GTTTGAAGTTTCATGTATAAATTTGAATGAGAAACAGTCCATTTAAGGATTACGTAGATTGCAAGTTTCACAAGTAAGTGAATAATCATATGACATATGGTATACAAAATAGTAAAACAGTAACATACTCGGTGAAACATAAAATACTAATTTTACGCATTCAAATGCTAGTTTGTTATCGAATAGATGAATATAGAAGTAAGATTACGCGATAGAAAGTCAATTATAATAATAATGCATAGCCAAAATAGTAAAGATCGACTGATATGTTTTTTCATGTTCATTATGGCATTCACATTTGTCATCGCAAGGTAGAACTCGTCTGCCCCTCTCCCCTTCAGTGGCTCAGCGGTAAGTCTGCAGGCTTATAACGCTAAAATTCGGGTTTCAGTATCCGTGGTGGGCAGTATACAGATAGTCCATTGTGTAGCTCTTCGTTTAAGAAAACCAAAATGAGATTAATCAAACATCTGTGGCGTCGCCCCCAGTGGCACAGGGGACTTGCAATGCTAGAAACCGGGTTTCGATACCCGTGGTGGGCAGAGCACAGAGAACCCATTATGTAGCTTTGTGCACAACTACAAACAAACAAATAAACAAACATCTGTGGCGTCTGGTGGGCAGAGCACAGAGAACCCATTATGTAGCTTTGTGCACAACTACAAACAAACAAACATCTGTGGCGTCCTCTGCTGGCACGATATAAGAGTATCCACCCTGGCGGTTTTTTAAAGAACTAGCTACACCCTAGCGGCCCTTTGTGATACTAACATAAGGTCACTCCTGCTGCCAAAGGATACCTTCAACTGGTGGCGAGTTTTGAACTCCAAACCCAGACGAAGTTAAGTACTAGTACTTTATTCAGTACATATGTATAAATACGAGTGACCATTTGTCTTACTCCAAGAAAATCATGGGGGTTCAGCCCGGTTAAGTATACGGATTTTGCAATCATTTACTACCACAGTGAAGATTCTTATCCGTGATTTATCTCCATTTTTAGTTTGTTTTGGTGCTATTTTGTTTGTTGTAAAGCACAGAGCTACACAATGGGTTATCTGTACTCTGCCTACCGCAGGAATCGAAACCCGATTTTTAGCGTTAGAAGCTCACTGAATTACCTCTGAGTAAACTAATTTTATAGTGATTTATCGTTTATTTGAATCGAGTTTTTTTGTCGTTTTATTTAGTTTCCTTTACTTAGCCTAGACAGACAAATTGACATTCTTAAAAAAAAACAACAACAACAAAGTATAACATTTGTCTCTTGATTCAACCATGGATATTTACCAGAATCGCTACTCTAATACCAATCTAGGCTCCCTTACGAAGATCTAAAAAAAAAAAAACTTTTTTTTCTTCAAGATAACTTTGCCCGCTAACAATTACTTTTCTGTTTTTCTTGTTTAACCATTCTGATGTAACCCAGTTGATTGATACTTGTATGACTGTACTTTAACCATGTATATTTCATGTCGTGGGGGGGGGGGGGGAGAGTGAAGTCGACTCAAATAATTTTACCTTGTAAAACCGTAGCTTTCAACTACTTATTTAAAACCAGGGTTGTCATCATGTAGAAAAAGAGAGAGAGAGAGAGAGAGGGGAGGGCCAATGTTGTCGTTAGCTACCGAAAAGATTCGAACTTGGGCCATAAGAAGCAACTACTACTTAAAACAATTGATACATAATTGCAATGTATATAGTTTACATAAGATAGATTCAGGCCGCTGTGAAATACATTTAATGTACAGCGTCGCTCTGAGAGGGGGGTACATTTCTCACAGTTTTTGCCTTTCAAAATGGGTTCTGAGATATATATATGTAATCTTTGTCCGAAACGTAAATTTGCTTAGACCCATTATTCGCTTGTAGAAACTGTAACAGACGAACTGGACGAATTGTATGTTTTCATGTTGATTTGGAAAGAGCATTTTGACAAACTTAGCGATTATATTTCATTATTATTATTATTACACTTTAGAATCGTCAAACATTGTCTATAAATCAAGACATCAACAGTTCACTATTACTTCGTTTAAATATAGTATTTTTCGCTTATTTTCTCGATTTCTGACTATCAGTATGTATATATATGTATAGGTACACATTAGGAAACTCAACGATTGCTCCATTTGATCTTGTTTACTTTCATCGTTCTTAACGTTTCTATATTTTTGTTTTATTTTATCCACACTTCTTTGGTTTCCACTTCGACCCTTTTGTTTAGCCTTGAGTTTTTGTTTTTTTAAAGGTTTTTATTATTACAATATTCTAATTAGAAGCATAGTTACCCTGTAGTGGTTTTGAAAAGGAAGACCTCGTCTCAAGTTACATCGTATGTTGGACTTTGGATTTAAATAAACTGTAAAAATAAATAAAAAGGCTTACTGTACAACTATTGCCCTCGTTAGAAGACTGCTCACAGAAATGATAAACTCTTGTTTAGTAGACCTTCGCAGTTTTAACAAAGCTATTTATGAAGTACTTTCATGGTGTTAGAAAAACACGTAGGTTCAAGAAGTCTTGATAGAAATGAACAAAAACCCTATAACCCGAGCGCTTTCGAAAGGAGGACTTTTCTTCTTCAAGGGCAAACTTAATATCTATCATATAAAATGTTTTCATAGTCTTAGGTTAACACGTTGATGCTAATATTTTTGTAGTTTCAGGCTGATGATGATTAACTTTGCTTCCGCTGTTACCTTAGTAAGGCTCTACTCTAACGAAATAGCCCTCAAGTGATAATATCAAACAATATGGTTTCACTAGTACTTCGTGATGATCAAAAATGACAAACCTCGTCTTTTATTCATTGAAATTTAAATTTTCTGATGTTTATTGTTGACCTGGTGATATTCTATGTTTCTGCAAAAGAAGAAAATAATTAAATAGGAAGTTTTTGGTTATATTTCCTTCTCCAGATTTTAAATTCTGTTTGATTGTTTGTTTGTTTTAAGCATAAAGCTACACAATGAGCTATCTGTGCTCTACCCACCACGGATATCGAAACACGGTTTCTAGCGGTGTAAGTCCGCAGACATACAGCATTGCCACTGAGTGGCTATTCTATTTGAACTAGTATTCAGTAGAATTTACCAAATCTGCGAATAATACAGGGGAAGAAAGGTAAGAAGCTCACTTCGGTAAAACAACCATTTTTATATGTCAGCAGTTATGACGTGCTGCCATCAGAGTGAATTATATGTAACTACTGGCGGACGGGTTCAAATATGAATTATCAAGGCTTGACTTTATTGATCCTAGGAAAATACTTTGATTTTTTTATGGTTACAAAGTAGATATTTCGGGAAGTTTTTACTTTATTGATTTTAAAATGAGGAATTATAGTCAGCCGAAGAATATTTTGGGAAGTTTCTATTTTATTGATTTCAAATAAATTATTATTATAGTCAGCCGAAGAATATTTCGGGAAGTTTCTACTTTATTGATTTCAAATAATGAGGAATTATAGTCAGCTGAATATGCCTTAAAAGAAGGTCATTGATTTTTTATTTTATAACAGGCAATTGTTTTGAGATAAGTGGCTTAGTATGAGACCTCCTTCCCCGCGGGTACGTCTTACCCCCATATCGGCTATCTGCTTCGGCCTTAATGTACTTCATTGCCACTAACAACCATGTTCTTTTGCGCCATTTTCCCAGATAATGCGCAGCATGCACATAGCACACGACCTTCCCGATTGTTAATTATGCACAAAGCTACACAAGGGCTATCTGTGCTCTCTGTCCACCACGGGTATCGAAACCAGGTTTCTAGCATTGTAAGTCCGCAGACATACCGCTGTGCCACTGGGGGGCAACCTTCCCGACCCCTGAATTTAAACGTAGTTGTTATGAGTTAGATGGGGCCAACTTTATTCAACATTATAGGCTATGTCCAGTCTTAAAAACCATTAGCGTTTTCATAATATTAATTTTAATTAGTAAAAACCGCATCCAAAGTAAAGGTGACCGTTTTATCCCACCTTCCTCTATTAATATAATGCACTTGTTATTTTCAACCTGAAAGGCATTTTATCGACATATGACTAAAATGACCAGAACCTTAGGGCATATACCTATAAATCCTAAATTTAGAACTGCCGACCAGCTAGAGAGCAATTTACTCAGCAGCACCTGCCGCCTCTGCGAGACTGACTGTCATAGTTATGACGCCCCCATAACTGAAAACACGGAGCGCGTTCAGCGGTGTATTACAACTCTAATCATTAGGTCTCGCCTGGCCAATGAAATAACGTGCAACAGTTTTAGCCTCAAGTAGTGCATAAGTACATATAAATATGATTTTCACATTTCCTATCTAACCAATCAGTATTTGTCTCTGAAACAAAATTCTCTGGGTTTTCTAAAGATATTGAAACGCCTAAGAAAGTACATTAGAAGTATACCAAACATTCTGAGAACGAACTATCCTAATTTTCTAATGACGTCATAAGGTAACGTTTTTTTATTGTTGTTGTTGAACTATTCAATTAAAAGCTCATGACCAAAAATCATTATCTAAGCTTATTGTGGTACACATCTTACTTATTTTTATTTACGCTTTTAGACGAATTCGGTTTTCGTACCACTTTACAGATCACAGATTATTCTTCAGCATAATGTGTTTTCCCAAAGAGTTCTTAAATAACATTCAAGGCCTAAATGAGTTAGAAACTACAAAAGCATCCGTCTTGGTTTTTGCTTTTTCTAGATTAATCAAGATCAGTCGTACCAAATTTCAGTCTTAACGACCGGGCTGTCACCTTTAAGCTACTTAGGAAACAATCAGTGGCAACTAAATAGATTTCACAGAACTACCCGAGGGCAGTGAAACTGGAGGCTAAAACAATGCTAATTTAAGGTCAAGTAAATTGTTAACCGTCAAGCCATTTGAGTAGAAACAAAAACGTAGAAAACGGTGATTTATTTATTGCAACCTTAGTATAAAAAGGATTGAGGCAATTTGGCTATGTTGTTAAAGCAGTAAGACTACGCTTACAGAGTGGAGAACTACTCATAGGGACACTCTAATCAAGCTTAGTGTTAACTCTTTTAAAGCTTCAGGTAAGGTAAAAGCTTTCTAATAACTTAGATATTTTACGTCTCTTATTTCACTCTTTATACCACCTTGGCTTATATAAAAATTCCGGAGCTACCGCGCGTAGCACGCGTTTCTAAACAATATACTAATCTGTGTAAATTCCTCGAAAATCTGAAGGTTGTTAGAATGATGTTTGTGGGAGAACATTACACGTAAAAGCATAACCGTGTATTCCTTGATCTAAAACTGGTATCTGAACAAACTTTAGACAGTTTATTACGTAAACTATCTTCCTTAGTGCATTATACTTAGCATTACACATAGATTTTGATTACGGATATGTAGCCTAAATTATGACCTTATTAATATCTGAAATGCGCGTCATCGGTTTCCAGAGTTTAAGGGAGCAGCAATTGTACTTGGTCATGATTCTCAATAACACGTTTCACAAGAGACCCAAGTATTATTGTTTATTTTATCTCGATAAAGATTGACTAAAGATAATTATGATGTCTTTTGTGTATTTTTCAGGATGGAAAACTGGGAAGAATTAACAACGATATGTATGTGTTAACCAAACTTCTAGTGTAATTTCCACCACACCCGGCATGAGATTTAACAGTTTTTTTTTTTAACATTGTTGTATTTTTCGAAACATCTACGGCGCAGCATTAATATTGGATTCATTTTATATCCATGGAAGATATCTTAAAACATAGCTACATACAATATCAAAAAATAGCTACGTACAATACCATCCCTGTTTATTTTATGCAAAAAAAATTCTTTCTTTTTGAACAGAAACATTGAGGATAATAATAACAACTTTTGGCCTATTGGTAATGTTTCATTATAATTTTATATTTAGTTAGTTATTTTGCAGAAGAAACTGTTTTACGGTTTACTGTAACAATGAAACCAAAGCTAAAAATTATTGCTAAGGTGTTTGATGTTTTAACATGTATATATATATATATCTATCCACCGAGAATTGATCATTTTTCATAACAACGATTTTCGTATATTAATACAGCATCGTGTTTATGAAGAGTTCCCAATTAATCGACGGTGCAATGCTGCTATGGGTAGATGATATGTCACAACACTTTCCGATGAAAGAGGTTCTTATATCGAGTTTTTATAACAACATAGATTTAAATGACTCAAAGTTCTGTAGAAGAGTGCTTTAAATGTTCTCCCTGTAAAAGGAACATCTCTCATAACCAATCCGGGGCAACGCCCTCATCCGTGAAATGAAGGCTATGGTTAAAAAAAACCTTTTCAACTTGGAAAATCGTTTTTATAAAGTGCGACTAATCCTCGTTATAAGGAGAGAGTTATTTTTGTTTTTAGAATTTTAGTCATTTCACCTTAAGTAAAATTAAAAGCTTGATTCTAGGAATATCTGCTAATTGAACAAAATTCTTAATAAAAAAAAGAAACCATTTGTGTTTCTGTATAGAATTCTCGAGTTTCAAACGACATCACGGCTAGTCGCCTTAGAACAGGCTCTCGCTTTATCAGGTAGTCCATTCTGAATATTTTCATTGGATAAACTAAGTAGTATGTTGGCAGCAGATGAAGACTCCATAGCTACTATTACTTAGTCGCCCTAGAACAAATTCTTATCTTATCAGGCAGTCCATTCTGAATATTTTCATTGGATAAACTAAGTAGTATGTTGGCAGCAGAGGAAGACTCCATAGCTACTATTACTTAGTCGCCCTAGAACAAATTCTTATCTTATCAGGCAGTCCATTCTGAATATTTTCATTGGATAAACTAAGTGGCATCTCTGTAGCTGACGAAGAATATTCGAACTTAAAGACATTTAATGAGTATTTTAGGGTATTTCGTTGTCACTGATTCAATAATTATTGATTCGTATAATTTACCAAATTAATACCATCAGATGTTTCGTAAAAGTTTTTTTTTTAAATGGATATAATCAAATATTAAAATACTTTGACTGATTACTGCTGTATTTTCCCCAATAAGCATAGTTATTTTTTTCAAACATACATTATAGCAGCTTCGACTCCAATGAATTCGATGGAAGTTATTTTTCTTCTCTTCCTTCTTGGGCCACTGTTTTCAGTTAATGGATCCGTGTATGACGATTATGATTCTCGCCTTAAAAAGTTATATGTAAGTTTACCTTAAACTGCTTCTTATGTAAGTAAGAATAGAAAATTAGAAATAAAATAAATAATTTGCATATTTTGACGATGCTCAATATATATATATATATAGAGAGAGAGAGAGAGAGAGCACTACGTTGTTTTATTTAAACCACTAAGTATTGTAGTAATAGACGTTTTTATTGTTCTTAGCTAAAATTGAGGAAAAATAACTTGGAATTTAAGCCTTAAGCATTTTGTGCCGTGTGATATTGAAGGAATAAAGTTTCATGCGACAGCTGGATTGGTTAACTATTTCAAAAAGGTCCAATCAGGCAATTAATTAAGAGACACAATGGTTTGTTTATTTAGGATTTTTTGTTTATGTGTTATAAGCATTCACGTTATTTCAGACAATTTCGATAAAAAGGTCCAGACATAAATTCATTTATTATTTAGGAATTTGCCGCTTTCTCGTTTCCCTATTGGAAATAAGCCTATTTTAATTACCTGCTAAAGTTTTATTATCCCTGCAAGTGGAACTTATTGTTGACTTACTACGTGTTTCATTGTGGATTATTTTATACGTTGTGTATGTTAGTGTCATGGTAGAAAAAACTTACTTTATAAGTTTTAAGTTTAAAAGTGTGTTTTATCAAATTATGGCAGAAGAGATTTGTGTTTTTTTCATTTAGTTATTGAAAATGTAGTTTGTTAAGCAGGCCTTATTATTATTATTGAGAAAAATAATGCTGAATATAAACGTCATCCTTTTTTTTTTTGCTTGCGTAAGAAATAACGCCTTAGTTTTACTCAGTTCCCGCTCGTAACACGCCTTGATTTCCTCAAAATTTCCATATCTGGAATCACTGGCCACAAACTTACTTCAAACAAACAAACACTTTTTTTTTTGTGGGGGCCCTGTGCGAGCGCCCATGTTGCCCATCCTTAAATTCGCCCTGATCGTAATATATTGTAATATATGCATATTTAAAATATATGTAAGTCTTATAAATAATAGTTGGAATTATAAAGTTGTGTTGTAAGCACGTGGCGAATACATCAGTTGCTAGAACGTGCAAACCATATACACGTTTTCATAACAGATAAATGCAAAGAAATCGATATTCCCACGTTCTCTGTTTATTTGGATGAACATCATTAATCAGAATTGGGATTTCGGTGTTATCGTGCTAGCTTGATGCATGGGAAATGAGTGAAGTCTTTTGATACGCACTATCATTTTTGTAACTCAATAATTAATTTACCCCCGTGTTAATTTTGTAGTAAGAACAAACGTCTACTAGGTTTGTCAATTAGCATGATAGTAACATTTGTTTTTTTTTCTTTCAATCTAAGTGTCTTTCTAAATAGATTAAAATCACGACTGTATTATTATCAGTCCATAAGAAGATGATACTTATCCAAAGTTATTACTAAAGCTCTAATAAAGAATTTTAATCAAGAAAATTAACGAGGTTCTTTCGGTTTACTTGCATTTATAAATATTTTTCATGAAGTTTTAAAGTGTATAGTAAAATGAATAAAGTTTCTTTTTATCATATCACAACCTATAGATAACTTAATATTAGTAAAACGAATTAGATTATAATGAGTTTAGAAATCTGAAGACTGTACGTATAACATGCAGGAATGAGGTTAGCTATGTACAACGTTTTCGTCTTTCAAAGTGTACAGTTTAGTTGCTCCAAAGGTTTCCGCATTTCAGCCGAATAGTTAATTAAAATAGATTAACTATAAAATGAAGGTGAAATACACAGATCAGAAATACATTTACAATACAACGAATTTGAATTCTACAGATGATTATGTAATTTTCTGGACCAAAAATCAGTTTATTATTGTTTATCTTATCAGTCTGATAATTTTTTTAGGTGTGGTGTAAATTTGTGATATACATTGCTTCATTATTTTCAGAATTATTTAACGGTACTACCTAATTACGCAATTTAGGTAAATAAAACTTACACTTGAACCCTGGAATATTAATATTAAATATGGCCATAGTGTTTAATATTAATAAGAAAAAAGTTACGTTGCTGTTTCTGGGCAGGAAATTAAAACAAGGTGTATGTTCACTGATATATAAATTTACCAACTTTTGACAGAATTACCCTATGGTGACTGGTTTGACCCCAGAATTAATAGGTGAGAATCCCAACAGAATCTATATACGTCCAAAAGACGCATTTCACCCACAGTATTTTGCGATAAAACGCATGGAGGATAAGTCACTGGACGAATCATCTCCTCCGGGTTTTCTCGGGGCTCGTGGACGTCGGGGTTACCAGTTGCCTCTGGATCGGAAGAACATTCCAACAGAATTCGCTGTCTCCCGTTGGAGAAGAAATGATGATGTTTTTTTTAACCTCGAGAGAGGTAATGCTCCTGCTGAAAACGCTGCGTATGGATATACTTTCCTGCACTCAAACGGGCACAAGAAAAGTAGTCCGGTGTCACCAGATTACTTAGAACGTTTTCTGGGAGTTAGAGGATAAAAAGACAAATGTGTATTATTTTCGCTTTCTAGTAGAGTCACTTAAGACTTCTGTTTGGACTCTGTCTTGACTTGTAGCTGATTGTTTGATGAATAAAGCTTTCAACGGTCTACCTATCTTGGTTTTGGTTTCTGTTTTCATTACTCAGCTGTTCTTCAGCTTTGTAAACTCCAACGTTTCTATAGTGTATGAATATTATCTTTAGAGATCTATAAAGTGATTTTCAATGTTTTCAAAAACTTGGACGTTTTTTTTTTATTATTATTTCAGTCTCGTCCAAAGAAAATTGAATCCATCAAGTTTAATGCAATTCAAATTCAAATGTATAAAATAATATTACGTTATCCATTTAAATATATCAAATACTTTCATAGATTCCAGGTTTAAGATCTGGCACTATTGCAAATTTAACTTCCCAACCAAACAAAAACCAAAATTCTTGGCAGGAATTTAGGTTTTTTAAAAAAAACGTTCAGGCTCCAAGGTGAACTTTGGGGTCTGAAAGATAACCCGAGATGTTCAGAAACTTTTGTTTCTCTTCAGAATAATTATCAATTTACCAATTATGCCTCTTTCAAAGTTATTAATTTTAAGAAAAAGCAAAAACCCAAGCATTGACCCCTAAGGTATTCTTTATGTATCAATTCCACAATTCACAATCTACTAGTCTTCTTCAACCTTTACTATCCATATTGCTCCATAGATTGGAAATCTATGAACTGCTATTTAGACATGCATTTCTTCATTTTAATGGTATCAAGCTGAAAACTAATTCGTTAAGGATATAAATTAATAAAGATTACAAAAGGCATTAAACTCTTGTGTATTTTTAGCTGTATTGGGGATGTTGAAGTATTATGCAATGACTTGAATCAATTGGTTATTTCGAAAACAATTTGGCAAATGACCTTTACGAAAAGTAAATGCAAAATAATGCATTTTGTTTTCATAATTTGGATCACACCTTTTATACAGATAACAACACATTTATTAGCGTGACTGAAGTAAACGATCTTGACATAATGGTAAATAAGTCGCTCAAGTCATCGAGGCAATGCTCTAGTTCTAGTAATAAAGTTGATATAATTTTAGGGTGTATTTATATACGTATTGAACACAAATCAAAAGAAGTAATCATCTCTTTATACAAATCACTAGTTAGGCCTTAGTTAGAATACTGCGTACAGTTTGGTATCCTTACTTAAAAAAAGAAAGGGTTCAAAAAAGAGGTACTAAGATGATTCAAGGGACGAAACAGTTACAATACAGTTATAGGGGATAAGTTAAGAACTTATCTTCTTTTGAAGAAAGGAGATAAAAGGGGATCATATTGAAGTTTACAAGATTATCCAGGGAATCGACTGGATAAAAGTCTCAGTTTTCTGGTAGAGACTATCCATACTGCTGATTGTGCGGTTTTCTCTCACCAGCTAAAGGAAATTTGCAAAAAAAATCGCTATATATATATGAATATAATTTCCTTAAACGATGGTTATCCCCATTTCTGGGTATTGTGCCAGATCTATTTAAGCCAATGTTTGAGAAAATAAAACTCGAACAATCAATGCGTAGTCGCTCTACGGAATTTTTTTCTTTTGACCAAAATCCATTTTTTATAAAACATGGAATTTTTTCCACATATAAGCATGTAGGACATAATGAATTTTTATACTGAGATGATCACGAACTGTTCCTAGGTACATAAGTATACAGAAGGTTTAGTACGTTATATTAAAACAATTTTTTAATATGCGAATCAGCAGGCCACGTTACAACCACAGCTGATATAAAGTCGTGGAGGAATAACTTGTACCAGAATAACATTTTTGCATTGTCTGGTGTTAGTAAGTAGTGCGACATCACCGAAATTTGATCGCCAAATATTCATACATTCAGATCATAAAGATGTGTTTGGATTGGGAATTTAGAATTTCTGAGGCGAGGATATCTCTTATACTTAATGACATTGGAAACAAAGGATTATGGATGAACCTGGGGAACCAGGACCAACTAGAAAGAGATCTGCATCAAGTCGTTTCCCAGCCACGGTAAGCAAAGTGAGGCGTATGGTAACAGGTTAGAATACACTAAAAAACTTCAGAGGCAAAAGTCTTTAACGTCCCCCAAATAACAGTTCGCAACATAAAAAGGATCTCCGTCTGAAAACGATGCCAACAGGGTATGGGTTCAACAAGATAAGGCTACCAGTCATATCTCCCACTGAACTGTTGCATACCTCAAACAACTAGAGAATGAGGTGGATATTCATGCTATTACATACAAATAACTTCCGGTCACGCCGTCTGACGAGTGCCTATGGTGTGATTAGATTGTTGAAATAAGTACTGGGAAATCTTCGTCTTATACACTAGCTGGATTATGGAAAGTATGCAGGGATGAATGACATGCCTTGGATATGAGCCGCCTTAAATTATGCCGTAGGGCTATTGTCACAGTCTTCAGATAAAACATGATCCGATATCACCATACGGACTGTAACGGCACGGTTAGTCTCCAAAATCGTTTTAATATAACGTACCTCTCTCTATACAGATAAATAATAATAAAATTATTTGAACCAGATGTTGAGTCAGCAATATTTTGGATTTGTTTATTTGTTTTGAAGCTACATGAGGGCTATCTGCGCTAGCCATCACTAATTTCGCAGTGAAAGACTAGAAGGCAGGTAGCTAGTCATCGCCACCCACCGCCAACTCTTGGGCTACTGTTTTACCAACGAGTAGTTGGATTGACCGTCACATTATAACGCCCCCACGGCTGAAAGGGTGATTATGTTTGGTGGGACGGGGATTCGAACTCGCGACACTCAGATTGCGAGTCGAGCGCCCTAACCACCGAGCCCTTTTTTTGGTTTTAAAAACTATAAAAGTAACGAGTAAATATCAAAATATCAAATTATAGGCAGCGAAAGTTGTGGAGCAATATAGTTTTTTTTTTTGAATCTGGCGATAATGGGTGGATCTTCATGAGGACAGCCAAAGTGGGACTGCCAGTAGTAGTGATGTTAGTCATTTTCCTGATTTTTTTATGCCATATTCTGAAAACAATAGGACAAGAGGAAACAGGTTTAAGGTTTAGAAAATACAGACTAGACTCTAGTTAAGAAAGATTTATTTTTCTATCAGTATGATTGGCTGATGGAATGAGTTGTCATCGGCAGCACCAGGAGGCCAGCACTTTACAAGAGTTTAAAATGGAAGTTGATAATTTCGTACAACATAAATGGTGGGTTTAATTTTTACTGTTAATTAAGGATGGGTATGCAGTGACAGCCCTGAAGGAGCAAATGGTCCTTTTTTTGTCAATTTATTATATTATATGCCTTATCACTCTGATTGCGAAAGTGGGAAAAACTATCAACTACATTTATTTTTAATTTTACACTTTACGTTCAACAAAGGGTATTTTACCCTCTTCGTTTAACCTTAGATTTATCGATGGGTGCTGAACCCACGTGGGTTTTGAATACATTTTTCTAAGCTATTTATGCACCCAATTGCTTGTGGATCTCTTACAGGTTACAAGATCCCTAGTATCATACACACAATTAAGTGAAAGACTAGAGGGAATGCAGCTAGTTATCACCACCCATCGCCAACTCTATTAGCTATTATTTTACCAACGAAGAGTGGGATTGACCGTAACGTTATAACGTCCCACAGCTGAAAGGGCGAGCATGTTCGGTGACGGAATTCGTACTAGCGACCCGCAGCTTGCATGTCGAGTATCCTACTCACCAGGCCATGCCAGGCCCTATTTTGTTGAGTGAAAGTATATAAGTAAGAGTAAGCACAAACGTATGCTTCATCATATAAAAGTAGATGTAGATCTCCCAGTGTGCAAGTGAAAAACCATATCTTAGTGTGAGAGTACATATAAATATAACGTATATTATCAATATACCTTGGCAGAATTTGAGTCATAGATCAACAAACTTCATGTTAACAAATTTTAGTTTTCCATATTTTGGCTAAGTCAGAAAACGAAATTAAAACTTAATATTATCTCTACTGTCACGATTTTTAGAGCTTTTGTATCAAAAACTAGTTGGGTCATGGAGTATGTAATATAACAGTAGAAAATGTAACGTAGCAATATTGACTAGAACCTTATTAAACAAACGATCTGGTAACATGATGACTAGGAAACAACGATTCGAAATATTATTATTATGAGGTCCTGTTACGTGTCTTAATATTCTACATACGCTTATAATACAAACCAAAAGTTATCCTCATACAGACACTGGACAATATTTTTGGAAGTGCTTAAAACATTGCGCATCCATTGGTTTAAAAGTAGTTCAGAGTCATATAATATGAATTTTATATTTATTCTTTTTATATTGATATCCATCATCGTTCTGATCAACTGCTAATTAAAAGGACTTTCACAGTTCTCTTATTCTATTAAGAAAGTCATACAGTTTTATGTGACACACTGAATTAGCTGAATAATTAACACAGTATAATCATTGACCAATAGGAAGCTATGTTTTATGACAGTCTTTGAAACTTGTGTTAAACATATGAAATGGACAAACAGTAGTAAAGATTTCGTTTTTTTTCTAACTAGTTGTCGGTTAAAAATTAAAGTGTATTGTGCTGCCACCTGGCAGATATAAGCTTACATTACAGAATGCTATTTTATCAAATTACTGCATGTTACTGTGTGACTTTCTTAAAGTTGTATCATTTGAGTGATTAAATTATAAGATCCCGTAGACATTTTGTAGTCTAAATTTAGTATACCGTATATTTCTCAAGCCGGTTAGCTCATACCCTTATTATGATATGCACACAAGCCGTTATATATACAGTCTACTTACAGTCTGTTATTATGTTTTTACCCCTCTCCTATATCACAGATATGTACAAATTCTTCAAGAACTGAACGGCCTTGTTAGGGCGCTCCACGCACAATCTTAGGTGCGGGGTTCGAATCCAAACATCTTCGTCCTTTCAGCTCTGGTGGCGTTATTTTGTGACGGTCAATCCCACTATTCGTTGGTAAAAGAGTAGCCCAAGATGGTGATGAGTAGCTACCTTCCCTCTTTCACTGCTAAATTAGGGACAGCTAAAGCAAATAGCCCTCG